AGGCCACACCTTGAGGTGCATAATATCATTGCACCTCCGCTACTCAAAAGGGATGCTAACATTCTAGAAAGTGTCCAGAGACGAGTGACAAAATGGCCTCCACAACAAATCATACGAGGAAAAACCAAAGAAATTAGGTCTTTTCACACTTAGTTGCCGTAGGCACAGGGGAGACCTCATCACCGTCTACCAGATCTTAAATGACCAGGCCCACCCAAATAAAAGCATCCTGCCATTAAGTGATTATAGGCTTCCACGAGGTAACCCGCTAAGGATAGGACACCAGGGACCAAAGACTCGAGTGCGATCACATTTCTTTTCGCTTCGAGTTTGCCGTCTCTGGAACGCTTTACCGAAGGCCGTGACTACAGCTCCATCTGTGGAGACTTTTAAGCGGAAGCCAGACAATCATGCAGAAATGCAAGGTTTGTGTCTCAATGGCTTATCCTCATAAAACTTAAAGCCTCACCGCCAATGGATAAGCATAAAAACTAAATCCCTACGACCTGTTCTGCCTTCTGTCACTGTATCGACTACTCTATCTTTTCCTTAGGTCACCTTTATTATTTCACTTATCTCAACCCATATTATCTACACTACAACCTATTATTACTATTAATATTCTGCTTTTACGTCTACACCTAATGACCAACGGGAGTTAGGTCAAACTCCATTCACGGCAGCAACACAGTCCTAACATACTGCATACTACAAACCACATATTGACCAATCCCCGCACCACTCCTCTTGCAGTCTACCAGAGCTAAACCAGTCGAGTGTCGGGACTTACTACGCAGTAGCTCACCGAAGATCTGAAACCTCTACCTCACAATCAGGAAGCGAGCTCAAAGAAATCACTAGTTTATACTAGTTCGCGATCAGGCGGAAAATTAGAAGTTGTTCGTTACGGTAACTTTTGATTGCATTTTCTGCTTCACCCGATACACTAGCTTATAATGTCCATGAATTTTTGTGAGTCTGTTTTTTGACGCCTCTGTAGTGATTAGTGTAATTTTCTGCGTAGATTGATTTTCTGTTGGGGCTTTATGCCAACTACTCTACGAACAATCCATCGTCCCTCCTACACATAGAATTGGTATACATTTACAAATAGCTGCAGTGTTGCAATCTTATTGAATGTTTGGTCACCGACTGGGGCAAGAATCAACGGTTGACACCAAAGTCAAATGACTTTCAGTCAGATCGCTCAGCATTACAAATGAACTCTTCATAATGATCTTTGCAAATTTCACCTAGATTTATTTTTTGCCTTCTGTGTTAAAAGTAGGTTGATAGCGAGGACTAAAAGACTGATATATGGAGGGACAATGACTTCGCAATAGTAGTGCTAGGTTTTCGATGGTCATGCATTTAGGTACAACCACTGTTAGATGTGCCTCCAAAGCCTCAGGATGGTCGGGGGTGGGTGCCTTGCGCTGCGAGTTGGCCACCCCTCCGCACACCTCTTGAAATGCTCCCATATGACCGGGCGTCTTACATAGCCTCTCCTGAGGAAGTCCTACTCACTGCCTTCACGTGGCGGAGGTGTTTCTCACCAAAGTGAGAGGGCGAAAGCGGATGCCCGGCGCTCTCCACCGGGTTGACTGTCCATTGGATGACAGTCTAGGGGAGATGGCTAAACCCTGATTCCAAACCTCCAACGACTGGCGTATGAAGCTCACTGGAGCTCACCGGCAGACGTATGGACAAAGGGCTTGTTGGATGTCTGGCCCCATTCAAAAAGGCGTATGAACCGAACTCCGGTCACCGGCTGCCAATGGATAGTGGACTCCTTACTCCACTCCTACTGCCTTGTAGGTCACACTTGGCTGTGTAAAGGCTAGAGCTGCACTCTCAAACAAAAGGCCGAGCGATGCTGGGGACATCACTCGTACCAAATTCCCATGAAACTTCATGAACTCTCTTACAAATTGCCGCGCCTGGGCAGCGATGATTCGAGACGTTCATGAAGCCGGCTCATCCTCCCGTAGGAGATAGCCGAAGTAAAGTAAGTAAGTACTGTTAGATGAGTAAGTCTGTATAGGTTGGTTAGTCGTAAATTATGGTGGTTTTTTGCTACCTTCCTCTCGAAGTCAACTTCCCTTAGTAAAATATAGTAAACAGCCGATTAGATGAAGTTTTGTATCGGCACCCAGCTCGCATTTTTTCGGGCGCATTGCAGACTTTTCGGGATAGACGTAGGGACAGTGTCCCACGTAAGTAGATCTACCCGAAGCTTTTTGTCCCTAAAAGTCTGCAATGCGCCTGAAAAAATGCTAGCTGGTCACTGGCTTTATATGACTACAGACACTTACTGGGACCGATTTTTACAACATATTAGGGATATATACCCTGTGAAATTCATTTTCGTAACATATGTATATCATAAATACATTTTTTGTAGATTAAATATCAACTTCTCACGTAGAACCTGACTGGTTCTTTCAGGGTCGCCGGAAGTTGGTGTTTATCCTTTACTGTTGCACCAACAGGTTTTCATTCAATAGGATTTCACAGGTAATGAAGATTTGTAATTTTTAAAACCAGCGTGCACCATTTGAGTGTTAGCATGTCTACAATACTCCACTAAAATTTATTTGTGCATAAGTAAATAATCGAATATTGGCATTCTACTTACTTGCAGATATCTAGACCTGTTTATGCCGAACCAATTTTAGGTTCTCTTAGGGTTTGACTGAGACTGAAATTTTCAGGACACTTCGTTTATTAAATCAAATGCGGAGAAGCTTTTCATTGTAGTCATTCGTTATTCAGTGTCACAGTTTAGACATGCATTGAGGCGTCCAATTCTCCGGCTTTCTAACTCGTTCCGACACTGTATGGTTGTGCACGTCATGTTTGCCGCGAAATATCACTCAGCATTTATTATTGTATTATTTGAAGAAAGTTCCCATAATCTCGGTTGTTGTTTCGCTCATTATTTTACGTGTTTCTTCTGAGAGCATATTTGTGCCTATCAACTGACCTCATTCCTATCAAAGGGTTGAAACTGTCATTACTCCAATAATCACACATGTCGGGTAATCATGTATTTGTATTAAATTGGCAGGTCAACACAAGGGATTTACTTTTAGGTTGATGTCTGGAAGCAGCGTTGCAAAGGCTACTGTTAATTGACCAATCGTTCCTACTTAAATAACACCCAAAGTTTTTTGGCTGACTGATTTCCAATCATATTTAGATTTACTGGTTTAATCCGATTAAAGTTGGCAATCAGAAGTAGGCCCCAATTACCTGACCCAGAGAAGCGTGCAGATAACTGGTGTTGTATGTTTTTTTCATTCACGTTCCCAGTGGAACATGGGGCTTCAAGGTAGAGGCTTGAAGTTTCTGTAGCAGTATTTATTTTACAGGATGGGGTTGCTAGCCTCATGCCCAACCTTTCCTCTTTACCAGCATTATTTCTGGCTTAGCGAGGTAAAAGAGTGCGTCCGTGGCCGGGGATCGAACCCCGGACCATGTGCATCGTCGGCGAGCGTCCTAACCGCTATGCCACCGACGCACACATGGCATTGTATGTTTGACCATCTCTTATTCATCAATCAGATACAATTGATACCTTCAAAACATTTCCTTACCCCACTAGTTGCACAGCCAGACTTCGATAGATTTTTGCTGACTACTGAGTCTATGGTTAAGGGTTTCAGAAAGCAAAAAGTGTAGACTTTTGAAGTAATGAAGTTATCTACTCGTTTCTATAGATCATCGATGCTAAACCAAATAGAGTTCAGTGATTCTTAATGATACGCTAAACTAATAATAATAATAATAGCTTTATTCTAAAAATGTGTTTATGCACAATACAAAATTTTTAGCAATTTTCTTATTACAAGCTGTTTGTTCCTTGTGCAAAGTCTTTAACTAATATAATAAGCGTTAATATATACGCTGAAGCGATATTGTCTTATACAAGGCATAGTCCAATAATCCACAATGTTCCCTCCATTTATGTCTGAAAATTTGTCGCAATAATTTGAAGTTCATTTAAAAATGTCTTAGTATACATTGTTGTACATTATTGTTTATGGTTCATGGAAAGTTGAAGAACTCTGCCCGGACGTGAAGAGTCCTATCTTGTGTAAAATTGACCTGTTCGCAGTTGAGATGACAAAAAATAGGTTTACAATACAATTGCGTTGTTTAGATGTCGTAGGTAATTGTAAGTTAAAATGCAGTTTATGAATTTGGGCTAGAAAAAAAACCATACCAAAATGTCATCCGAAATTTGCATACTATAACTCACTCATTCTCTTTAGTTAATACAATGTAGATATATAAAATGTTATCTGTCAACTTTTTGCTCGTAATTAACACTTAGTGATAAGGAAAATATGTATGTATACTATCACTGCTTGAACCTAAACTACTTTTTCTTCTAAAAGAACGAGTAAAAAGTACTCAGAAATGCATTAATCAAACCATAGATGGTACCAGTAGTATTAAGTTGAATGTGAAGCTAAACCCAACAGTCCAATTTCCCAGAATAGATGAACGGAATTACAAAAGTCTAAAAAGTGTCTGTTGTAAATTGTTGTTTAGAAAGGATATAATAAGCAGATAAACTTGTCTTTGTCACTCATAAACATTCTTTGCTATATGTTAGTTTCCCCTACTCCTGTAACATCCCTTAGAGCTCTTCCAAAATTCAGAGGCAAATTAATTTACCGACTACGGTAAGACATAAAAGACGAGTCTCCTCAAAGCTCTACGAAGAATTAGCGAAGTTATATATTGTGTAGTATAAAATATGGTATGAAATGGAAAGAAATTCAATTTTTATTCGTTAATCTTTTTTGTTATACCTGTCTTATTGTGAGGTGTCCATACATACTGATGTTTGGTTTTTATCTTACCGGTATTTAATATGTGTTTATTTTGAGACTATTTCTAAAATCAATCATGTAATGTCTTTAACTGTCTTCCGAAATTTGATATCTATGGGTAATTCAGTGAAAAGCGTGTTCTGATCTCAAACTTCTATGGGTCAGAAGCAACCAAAGTTAAAACAAGATGCCGTTGAAGAATTATTAACTCAAACGTCTTTTACGGAAGCAGAAATACAAGATTGGTACAAAGGTTTCCTGAAGGTCAGTTGAATCGTGTATTATGAACTTTTGCCTGTGTACATAAGCGCGTCCTTAGTGATCTAATGACTCCATAGCTTAGGCAATCTGTTATGCACAGTAATACACATCACAGACAGTTACTTAAAGGTGAATATATCTCCGAAAGGTTACATGCCTTTAATTAATCTTGTGTTGAGCCTCCTTTATGTGATTGTTTTTGTTTTCACACTTAGGACCAGATTATTATAATTATATCCTTCGGTTTTCTGCTAACTTTTTCACTCCGCTCCAAGTCTGCCCACATGCTTTCGTTTCCTCTTCACATGACTTCCTCCAAGTCACCCTTGCACTGACGACCAACTCGCCGCTTCCCTTTCGGGTTCCACTCGAGCAATGGCTTGTTTAGTGATGTCACTTGATGGTTTCCTCAGAGTATGGCCAATCCATCTCCATTTCTTCCTGCCCATTTGTTTCACAATCGGTTCCTGCTGGGTTGGTTCGGTCATTGCCAGAGATCCCTGTTGCTGATCTCTTCTGGCCGGCCATCTGATCTTGAGTATTGAGCGAAGACAACTGTTAATGAAGGTCTGTAGTTTGTTTGAGATGCTCTTTATGACGCGCTGGCCAAGTCTCTGATCCGTATTGTAAGTAGCACTGACTTCACATTGGAGTTAAAAATCCGGATCTTATTTTTGATGCTGAGTGGGGCTGTTGACCTCCACACAGACTTGAGAGTAATGAAAGCTTGTCTTGCTTTTCCGATTCTGGCTTTGATGTCCTCGTCAGTTCCGCTTGTAGTTGAAACGATGCTTCCCAGGTAGGTGGGTAGGTGAAGGAGGTTGTTTCTTTCAGGTTCCTCCTATTTATGCTGATTGTTGCCTGTTGTTGTTGTTGTTGCAGTTGGCCAGGAATCTTCATCACCTCTGTTTTATCTATGTTCACTTGAAGTCCTATCTTTGATGCTTCTTCTGCCAGCTTGTTGTTTTTCACTTGCATATCTTCCAGTTTGTGGGAAATCAGACATATATCATCGCTGGCGAAGTCCAGATCCTCCAAGTTTTTTGTGTGATTCCATTTTATGTCTGTTTCCTCATTTCCCGTTATCTGTCGCATTATCCAGTCTACTGCAATCAGGAAGATCATTGGCGATAGTAGACAGCCTTACCTCACTCCCATCCTCACTTCGAAGGATTCCGTAAGTTTCCCGTTGTGGATTACTTGGCATGTAGCATTGTCGTATAACTGTTGGATGAGATGTATAATTGTCGATGATGCGGCTTAGTATTTTGCTTGGGATGGACAGGAGCATAATTCCACTCCAGTTTTTGCATTGACTTAAGTCTCCTTTCTTTGGTAGTTTGAATAAGTATCCTTTCTTCCAATCCTCGGGTACTTTGTCCTCTTTCCACACCTTCTCCAGTAATGGCATCATCAAGTCCGCTGTTGTCTTTGGGTCCATTTTCAATGCTTCTGCTGGGATTCCATCTGGTCCTGCTGCTTTTCGAGCTTTTAGCATCTTGATTGCATTCAGGACTTCTGATTTCGTCGAGGGCGGGGGTCGATGTTCACTAAACTTAGGACTAGAAGGTTCATCATATTCTTTTTTCACATTTTTAAAAAGAATTTCCTTTATATTCCGAGTGGAGGATAGAGCTTCAGTCTTTAAGACTTCAGTAGTGGTGTTGCTTTTGTGAAGTAGAGTTACTAGTCTGACATGCAACCCTCCCTCTTTTTCCAGACTACTATCGGTTAAAAACTTCATGGAATTCTTCCCATTAATTAACTTGAACAAAGCAAGAACAACAAAGCGCATACATTGGAAGAACAGAGAGAAGGGTTAGTGTCTGCATTTATGAACACATACACCAAAGAACCTGAGACTGAAAGGTCCGCAAGCATTAAACAGTGCGATTGCTCGTCATCTATTGGACAGTGGTCATAGTGTAGACAACCTGAAGTCGTTCAAAATAATCAACAAGCAAAAGAAACCTAGCTTGCTACGCTTTGCTGAAGCAATTGCCATCATCTCTCTCTCTCTTAACAAATCACTATAGGAGATGTGCATTGAGACGTCGGCTAAATTGTCTAGTAATACACACAACGGAATTGACAGGTACAATCTTATCATCCTGTTTACAAATGCAAGTGTTTTCTTTATATTTAATGCTTGTTTGTAATTGTAAGTATAATAGAACAAAGCCTCATGAGATCTGTTTGAAAACAATGTTCTATGCGAATCTGCAATATTTTCTGACAATAATAATAACACCATCACGGAAAACATTTTATTTCGATAAAATCACAGTGTTGTACAGTAATGTTTACTGATGACGTTTCGAGCACAAATTATTATTGCTCATTATCATATCAAGGCACATAATGATAAGATAAATAAGAAAGAATATAAGGCATCTACAGTAGTTTTACCATATATATGGAGGGGACGTGTAAGACTCTCTTCGTAGGATTTTTTATAAAGCAGGAATTAGGACGGCATTCAAACCTACAAACTCACTCAGGTAGGACAAACTCTGTAGGTAGGCTAAAGGACCCAGTAGGTTGACCCAATTAAACAAAACAATATAATTTAAAAAATACCCTGCAATGACTGTTAATGAAGTCAACTACATAGGTCAACCTAGTAGACCGGGAGTAGTCAGATAGATTATCAGAATATAAGAATTTAGGGAAGGCTAGAATGATTGACGCCACGAAGAGAAGTAATTTAAACAAAAGCTTGGCAATCGCACTGTATGCATTGACATACAATCACACAATAGGGTGGGTGAAAGAGAGTCAAAATTCTTAAAAGTAATATAGGTCGTTGGAGAGAAAGAGAGAAAGATTGATTACTGAATCCTGGTTCATCCAATCTACACCCAACACATGCAACAGAAATAACTCCACGCAAATACCAGAGATATGGAAGATAATATTACCACCAGTCAAATCAGAGGATAATAAGTAATGGTAAAGTGTATTCAATTCACAGTATAGCAGTCTATTATTATTATTATTGTTATTATTATTATTTTTATTATTATTATAGGAACCCGAAGGAGCAATAATATAATAATAATAATAATAATAATAATAAAGCATCTTGCTTCCCATCTTATTGTATTTGACTGACAACAATAATATTATTTCCGAATGTATTTTATCTTACATTGGTTTTATTCAAATGTCCAATCATCAAGTTTTACGTATGTACATAAATGAAGCAAAAAAGTTGTGTGAGCGACTTGATGTGATTATGAGCAGTAATAAATTCTGCTCGAAACGTGGTCGCATCAGTGAATATTACTGTATAACACAACACTGTGTGATTTGAGTAGCATGAAAATTCCCATTGAATCATATGAAAGAGAGAAGACGTTCAGCGAAGATACTCTTTTTAGCGAATTCATTCACATAATTGTGCAATCGCTGTTTGTCTACTGAGTAAGAAGTAGTCTTCCTAAAGCTGTACGAATCAGACTTCTTCAAACTACAGAAGCCATGGCGATTCACTTGCTAAGCCCTGAACTCTGCATACAGAAGAAGTTCGTTCAATCACTACACTTGCAGTGGATGTAATCCCTCTTATTATCCGACAAGTAAATTCTATCTAATCTTTCTTTGTCTGAGTCTTCATTAGTATTATTTTGTCTTCTCAATTGTAATATTTTGCATTTTCAACTTTCTTGTTCTCTACCCCCACCCGATTTAATTTCTACACCTCACTACCACTGTTACTGACTTGACCAACGCTCAATTTATAGTCATTTATATTACGCCATCCAACTTATTTGCTCAATTTCAGTTCTAATTTAAATGGCATTATTCTCTACCCCACTTCTCCTTCGTCTCTACCTGTAATTACCTCTGTTGGTACGCTGACCTAAGTTGAAACATTTTAGTCCATTATATTACGTCATCTAACTTACTAACTCAACCTGAAATCAATCTGGAAATCTTCGTCACTCAGCATCAACAGCAAAATTCGGTCGAACTTTCAATACGAACGTCAAGTCAGTCACTTCCTCTATACGGATCAGAAACTTGGAGGGTCACAAAGAATATTTCAAAAAGGTTGCAGACCTTTATTAACAACTGTCTTCGCTCTACACTGAAGATCAGATGGCCGGAAAGAATCACCAACAAGGAAATATTGGAACAAACAAAACAAGAACCAATCGCCGCCCAACAAATATGCTGAAGCAAGTGGAGATGGATTGGACACTCGCGGCTGAGGAGGCCTCTGGGTGACATCGCGCGAATGTCAGGCCATTGCTCGAGTGGAAACCAACAGAATGGGAAGCGGCGATTGGGTCTTCAGTGCAAGGGTGACATGGAGGAGATCGTATGAAGAGGAGTTGAAACAGTATGGACTAACATGGATGCAGGTACAGCAAGTACAGCAGAAGGAAGACAGAAGCAAGTGAAGACGTGCAACTGAAGCCCTATGTTCCACTAGGAACCCAAGGGAGCAATAAATATATAACTTACTAACTCAATCTTACTTTAGTTGCTGTCCAATTAACCTTGTTTCCATATCAGATCATTCTTTTATTATCTAATCAATCATCCAAACTTAACAAACCTCATGTACACACACACACACAAATAATTATATATAAATGTGATTGTACAGTTAACTATGTGAATGAATTCGCCGGCGAAAAGAGTCTCTTCGCTGAACGTCTTCTTTTTTTCATATGACTAAATGGGGATTTCATCAAAATAAAATTTTATCCATAATGGCATAATTATACCACAGTGCCCAAGTTTTATACTTATATCAATAATAATAATAACATTGATATCCTTTATTTATTTCTCCCTTTTTTCGAAAAAAACCACCACAACATTTAAAGGAATGTCCAACTGGTCATTTATCCATCGATGATTTTAAACGTGTATATACCAAGTTTTTTCCATACGGTGAATCAACACGTTTTGCTGAATGTGTCTTCCGGACATTCGATAAAAATCGTGATGGTTTGATTGATTTCAGGGATTTTTTATCTTCATTAAATATTACAAGTCGTGGTGATTTACCACAGAAATTACGTTGGGCATTTACAATGTATGATTTAGACAATGATGGGTATATATCAAGGCAAGATTTAATTGAAGTGCTTACGGTATGTATATATCGTTTTATTTGTTTTGTTGATAACTTCTGTTGTATTATGTTATATAATGCATTTCCCGTTTGATTGACGCGACTGCCTGTTGTTGTCTTGTGATATCTTCAGGAATATTGAGGTTAGGTGTGTAGTGTTGGATAAGATGGCTAGAACACGTGTTACGCATGTTTGAGCTATATATCTCCTTTCATGTCAAACAATATATTAGCTAACATAGAATTAATTTGGAAAAGAGTTAGAGGCGGTCAAACCGAAACCTGATACAAATCCATGAAGTCTTTGACTGTTGGTTTTAGCCACCCATGTAGGGAGGTGTAGACTGCCTAGTTGAGGTAGTCCTTGAAATGCTGCTGTAAACCAATGATTTGAGACTATTGGTAACATATCTGTGAGCTCGCATTGTAACTGGGAGGCCTGGGTTCAAACTCCGGTGGGTGTGTACTGATGAAGAATCCCGGTCTAGGACGAAACAGCTATCCAGTACTCCCAGGTTCTCCAGTGATTCTCTACCCGATGTCAGCTCATGATGAAATCTTGTAACCAATGAAATCCCCGCAAATCAACATGTGAATATCTAGAAATCATTTTTAGCGTTGCAGATGCATTCACTCTTTGGGACCTAAGCCTTCAAGTTTTTATCGTAGATTATTGTTGATTCTAGTTTCTTTGTTGTGATCGAAACCGTCTCGTTGTGTTCTAAACGCAGAAAACCGATCTATGCATTCCACTGTATAAGTGACAGAAACTTGCTTCCTTGAGAGACTCACAGTTACAAACACTGCAAAGGTAGTAGAAAGACAATCATTCTTCGATAAATCTATGCCGTTCTATTCGACAGTAAATAACATCAAGAACTCAAAATCACCTCAACAGTGTTGTTAGAGGCAGCGGTACAGAAAAGGTACGTTTTTCAACACAAAACAAGCACTGTAGAATAAAATTGGTTAGCCGAAATTCAACCGTAGTGTAGGTAGCTAAGAATCAAGTAGAGTATTTCCAACATTGTGGGATCGAAACTCCGTCCACAAGTTTCGCATACACAGCGCTTCCCCGCAGACAGTTTAAGGTCAGAATAGCCTTGGCGCGTGGCTGTCCAGCATTCAACAACTGCACCGCCGACAAATCATTAGTTCACTTAGGGGAGTCAAATGTTAACTCATCAAAATGAAAATTGAATCAAACTATTTTCCCTCAGCAAACTGGTATGGTGCGAATAAGAATATCTTTTGCAGGATAAGATGTAGTTCATGTCATACGAGGATCTCATCAGCTGCATTATTATTATTATTGTTCCGTTTGGTTCCTAATGGAACATAGAACTTCAACTGCACGTCTCCACTTGTTTCTGTCTTCTGCTGTACTTTTCACCTGCATACATGTTAGTCCATACTCTTTCAACTCCTCCTCACACGATCTCCTCTATGTCACTCTTGCACTGACGTCCCACTCGCCGCTTCTCTTTCGGCCTGGTTCCACTCGAGCAATGGCCTGACATTCGCGCGATGTCACCCAGCGGCCTCCTCAGCCGCAAGTGTCCAATCCATCTCCGCTTGCTTCAGCATATTTGTTGGGCGGCGATTCGTTCTTGTTTTGTTTGTTCCCATAGTTTCTTGTTGGTGATTCTTTCCGGCCCGGCCATCTGATCTTCAGTATCGATCCAGCGAAGATAGTTGTTGATAAAGGTAGCGTCTGCGACGGGCTGTCGGAAATATTGTTTGTGACCCACTCTCCAAGTTTCTGATCCGCATAGAAGAACTGACTGACTTGGGGTTTGTATTGAAAATCCTACCGAATTTTGTTGTTGATGCTGGCTGAGTGACGAAGATTTCCAGATTGGTTTCAGGTTGATGAATGTGTTTCTCGCCTTCCCGATTCACACTCGATTTGACGTCCTCGTCCGTTCCGAATGCCTGTAGTTGAGACAATGCTCCCTAGATGAGTGAATGAAGTAACCTCTTTCAAATCCCTTTTGTTGATGGTGATTGGCGCTGGAAGTTGCTGTAGTTGTTGTTGGTTGGTTGGTTATTTTCATCACCTCCGTCTTGTCTGTGTTCACCTGGATTCCTGTCTTCACGTAAGTGTAGATGGTTATGTAATCATATGAAAGTTTATTCAAACAAAATGAAATTCACAGGATCACAAATCACGAAGATTAGTATGAAAGGCGATGAGTGTAAATTTCAAGTTATGTCACAAAAAGTGAAATCAACTTTCCATTAGTGAAAGAGAACACATGAGTAGTCAGCAAAGAGATCTCTTCTGATCGTAACTTCACTTCAAAGCTGTACAGTTACTCTGAGGGTGTTTATACATAATAATAGGAAATAATTAATAATAGGAAGAAATGGAGATGGATTGGCCATACTCTGAGGAAACCATCAAGCGGCATCACCAGACAAGCCATTGCTCGAGTGGAACCCGAAAGGGAAACGGCGAGTTGGTCGTCAGTGCAAGGGTGACTTGGAGGAGGTCATGCGAGGAGGAGATGAAAGCATGTGGCCAGACTTGGAGCGGAGTAAAAAAGTTAGCAGAAAACCGAAGGCAATGGAGGCGCGCAGCTGAAGCCCTATGTTCCTCTAGGAACTAAAGGATATAATAATAAATAATAATATAATAATAATAATTCGCTTTATTCCAAAAACAGTACTAATGATACAGCAAGGAATTTTCAGCATTCAGTACAATATTGCATTTAATTTACTCAAAAACGACGACAACAAAAATTAAAAATACAGATTACATAATAATAATAATAAAACGTTGTTATAGCAGCTACATAGCAAATTACTGTATGCAATACGGAGAAAAATATGCATAAAGTATAAAATTGTAGTAATAATAGTAATAACAACTAAAATAAAATAGCAAAGTTATAATTAAGCGATAGAAAGTGTGACACCATATAATACAGAAAGATGAACAATGAAAGGGTCGATTCGCTGTGCTAATTACATAGTAACTTACTGTTTCACGTTTAACAGAGTCTTCATCACATAAAGTACGAGCTAAATAGGATATTGTAGAATTTCTGTGCTTAGTGGTTCGAGCATATAACTTTTTATATTGACTTCTTGTCCTACCTGATGAGACACAAGGGGATAGTTATGAATAAAGGGGGTGCAGAGGGTCTGACAGTACAGCCTTTGTCCATTTTGTACAGGAGTTTATGTGTCTCTCGACTATAGTATTGGCGAGCTCACGCAGTGGCATACCACAAGCCCTACTTACAGCATTTAATACTCTTCGTAATATGATATAGTCTTTTTTGAGAAGCCCAGGAAAGATTAATGGAGAGCAATAGAGTACAATAGGTAAAATACAGGAGTTTAATAATTGCAAAACTAAAGGCTGGTTGATACCTGATTGTCTTAACTTTTTAATGTAGAAGGTAAGACGAAACAGTTTCTTAGAGATAGATAAGATGTGGGATGACCATGAAAGCTTAGAGGAAAGAACTAATCCAAGGTATTTAATGCTTGACTTTGTTTCAGTTCCCGTGCCATCTATGCTACAAGGAATCATGCGAACTAACTAGTTCATGTAAGTCACGTCGATGCTTGAAAGTAAAGTCAAGTGCCTGACATTTGGAAGGATTTAACATAAGACCATTTGACCTAGACCACTTGCTGGTGTCCAACAGAAAGCTATTAAGTTTGGAGCAGTCAGACTCGGAAGTGATAGGCAGTGATACAGTCAGATCATCTGCATGTATGACAAAGTTAGTTTCGTTTGAATGAGGCAGGTCGTGTAGGAGGAAAGAAAAAAGAAAAGGAGAGAGGACGGCACCTTGAGGAACACCGGCTTTTGTAAACGAGGTAGAAGAAGATTTGCCATTATATACAGTATACTGCATTCGGTCAGAAAAATAAGAATGCAACCAACTGTTAGCCCAGGATCCTGTTTGTGTCAACGAAAGCTTATTTTTATTAAATAATAATAAACAAATAAATAAAAGACCCCTAGATACAGAGTCAAAAGCAGATGTGTAGTCTAAGAAAGCATAACGAACATATTTGGCACCTTTGTCTAAACAAGAAACAACATTGTGATATAAGACAACCGCAGCATCCAAGGTACTTCTACCATGTTTATAAGAAAATTGTTTAGGATCATTAAAAGGTTTCAATGAAGGTTCAAGAAGAAGTAAAAGTAATTTTTCCATCAATTTTAAAAAAGGAGAAGTAATTGCAATAGGCGTAAATTTAATATTAGTACCAGAAGATGGTTTTGGTATATGGGGATAATTTTAATGTTTTTCCATGCAAAAGGTAGAACATTACTGGAAAAGGAAGCATCAGAAATGTTACTAAGAGGGTAACGCAAAATATCAGCACAATTCCTGAGGACAATGGCAGGTACGCCATCATGCACTGTAGGTAGACAACAGAGGTCAAAGATTATTATTATTGTTAGTTAGTAATAAAACATATCAAGGTGGATGAGTAATAAGTATGTTTAAGAATTAGGAATAGTCTTATATAATCACAAGGGTTGACAACTAATTAGTTGAGTGATGATTAGTATTCGTTTGGAAAATGAGTTGTGAAAAACATGAAGTGGACTTTATTTTTCCTTCACGTTCCCCAGCGGAACATAGGGCTCCAAGCTTGAAGTTTCTGTAGCAGTGTTAATTTTTACCGGATGGGGTCGCTAGCCTCATGCCCAACCTTCGTGCTTTACCAGTCTCACTTCTGGCTTAGCAAGATAAAGGAATGCGTCGGCCGGGATTCGAACCCCGGACCATGTGCATGGTCGGCGAGCATCCTAAAGGGTGTGCCACCGACGCACAATGGTCAGAAAGACAAAGGGTAAAGAAAAAATATTGCAAAGGCCATGGTAGTAGAAACGGCTGGAAGAAATGTTTCTGAACACAGCGTTGAAGTTTCTCCTTAAGGATTGTTAAGATTTCATTCAGCTGCATGAGGAAGATGCAGGCGAGCCATTAATTACTACTATGGTAGTAATACAAATTGGTTAACAGACACTCTTTTTGAACACGCTTCAGGTTTCACCCTTTAGATGGTGACTTCTTCAGCAATTCGAAGTAGTCGTGAGGTATTCTGTCTACCCACCCTAAAAGATTCTTGTATGTACACATTTAGTGTCCTGTATCAACCAAATGCCGAACTACTATAGTAATGTTAAACTAGTGTTGAACCTCGAAGACTTGTTCAACAACAATCCCTTGATACAACCGTCTCTTCGCTTTTCCTACTTACCAACTATGCAATACATAAATACTGATTACATATCTATTGTAATATTGAAGAAAAAAACAAAATTTTTCATACACTTGGTTCCCTTGATAAATTTCGATAAAGAAAGGAAGACGAAATTTGCAGTATAATATGATGCCATCATTCTATTTCACAAGTTCTCATCAGCTGCACACCCCTACCTGAAATTATTATTATTATATCCTTTTATTCCTAGAGGAACATAGGGCTTCAACCGCGCGTCTCGATCGCCTTCTGTTTTCTGCCAACATTTTTTTACCGCGCTCCAAGTCTGCCCACATGCTTTCGTTTCCTCTTCACATGACTTCCTCCAAGTCACCCTTGCACTGACGACCAACTCGCCGCTTCCCTTTCGGGTTCCACTCGAGCAATGGCTTGTTTAGTGATGTCACTTGATGGTTTCCTCAGAGTATGGCCAATCCATCTCCATTTCTTCCTGCCCATTTGTTTCACAATCGGTTCCTGCTGGGTTGGTTCGGTCATTGCCAGAGATCCCTGTTGCTGATCTCTTCTGGCCGGCCATCTGATCTTGAGTATTGAGCGAAGACAACTGTTAATGAAGGTCTGTAGTTTGTTTGAGATGCTCTTTATGACGCGCTGGCCAAGTCTCTGATCCGTATTGTAAGTAGCACTGACTTCACATTGGAGTTAAAATTCCGGATCTTATTTTTGATGCTGAGTGGGGCTGTTGACCTCCACACAGACTTGAGAGTAATGAAAGCTTGTCTTGCTTTTCCGATTCTGGCTTTGATGTCCTCGTCAGTTCCGCTTGTAGTTGAAACGATGTTTCCCAGGTAGGTGGGTAGGTAAAGGAGGTTGTTTCTTTCAGGTTCCTCCTATTTATGCTGATTGTTGCCTGTTGTTGTTGCAGTTGGCCAGGAATCTTCATCACCTCTGTTTTATCTATGTTCACCTAAAGTCCTATCTTTGATGCTTCTTCTGCCAGCTTGTTGCTTCTCACTTGCATATCTTCCAGTTTGTGGGAAATCAGACATATATCATCGCTGGCGAAGTCCAGATCCTCCAAGTTTTTTGTGTGATTCCATTTTATGTCTGTTTCCTCATTGCCCGTTATCTGTCGCATTATCCAGTCTACTGCAATCAGGAAGATCATTGGCGATAGTAGACAGCCTTGTCTCATTCCCGTCCTCACTTCGAAGGCTTCCGTCTACCTGAAATTACAGTGGTTATATAGATGATAATAACATACTTTAATGTTTGAGTGGTAGTAGAGAAGAGATACTATAAAATTGACGCATCCAAAATGAAAGCAGCATTACAATTTTTAGTTTAAGTTTTCATCATCAATTTATACGAGTTGATCACGGATTGATATCAGTTAGAGAACCATTGAAAACCAGGGAGTACTGGACAGCTGCTGTTTCATCCTAGTTTGGGAATCATCGGCAGTACGCACCCACTGGGTTTCGAACCCAGGACCTTCCGGTTACAAGGCAAGCTCGTATACCATTCAGCCACTGGGACCCGATTCAATGGCTCGTAAATTCTAACTTCTACCAATTCTGATGCTTGCTAGTGACTTGCTACAGGTTGGAGTTTCCTGAGTTCTAGTGAGAAGTCGTGACCAGTGAGGTCCAATTAGATGTCACGTGTGTGGATGGATGTCCCACCAACGACAATGGTTGGGGTCGCGGTAAATCACGAATTGGTAGAAGTTAGAATTTACGAGCCATTGAATCGGGTCCCAGTGGCTGAATGGTATACGAGCTTGCCTTGAAACCGGAAGGTCCTGGGTTCGAAACCCAGTGGGTGCGTACTGCCGATGATTCCCAAACTAGGGTGAAACAGCAGCTGTCCAGTACTCCCTGGTTTTCAATGGTTCTCTAACTGATATCAATCCGTGATCAACTCGTATAAATTGATGATGAAATCTTAAACTAAATAAATTGTAATACTGCTTTCATTTTGGATGCGTCAATTTTATAGTATCTCTTCTCTACTACCACTCAAACATTAAAGTATGTTATTATCATCTATATAACCATTGTAATTTCAGGTAGTCTGCAGCAGCTGATGATAACCTGTGAGATAGAATGATGGCATCATTTTATACTGCAAATTTCGTCTTCTTTTTTGTATAGAAAAACAAAATGCATAGTTCAGCGAAGAGTCTCTTTCTGGCGGCAAGTTCATTCACTTAGCTGTACAACTGTGAAATTATGTATAATTATTTTTGTATGTGTGTGTGTAGATTAGCTTTGTCAGACAAAAAAATTAATTCAGGTTGTTGTTTACGCAATCAAGATATTTCAAAAGATGTGATGATTAATCAAATTGTAATTAAAAAGGGTGGGAGTGAGGAGTGAAGATTAGTATGATGGTAGTAGTAGGTGTAGTGATGAGTTGTCAATGTTAGTCAATGCATATGAGAAGTTGATTAAGTGTATTGTAGTTGCGTAATAAGATGAATAATTCAGTGAGGGAGTGAGTTTTGATTAGAATGAGCATAGAAACGAAAGAAAATATGGTTTTATGTCTATCTATCTATCTATCTGTTTTCGACATAGAACTTTGCACCGATGCGCAAAGTTCAAGTCGCCACACTCCACTCCATGTACCAAACAAAGCAAGAGAAGAAAGTACAATGAAATGCATAATAGAGACAGTAAACAGAGGTGTGAGACAAAGGAATAGTAGTAACGAAGACAATATAGTTTCATTGGAAATCATAAGTCGCAAGGAGTGGATGCATCTGCACCAGCCGTTGAGAAAGATTTTGAGCCATGTCACCAATTGTTTTCAACCACTGCTTTTTACCGTCCTGACGACCCCAACCAGTCAGGAAGTCTACACCTTCCTACGTGACTGGCTTAAACTAACTGTTGTGGATTTCAATGACTGGTGCTATGTTTTGATTTGACCGCCACTAGCTATCTCTTTCCCAGCCTGACCCTATGTCAACTAACATTGCCCGTCGAAGAAGGCGATGACTAGAGTAGTGAGAAAATGCAAGAGTTATGATGAGTTAGAAAAGCAGTTAGTAGAAATCGATACAGTTGTTGCCATGATAGTAGAACTGGTTGAATGATTTCTTTTTGTATACATAACTCTTGTTTTTCCAACTGAATGACCGAGGCTTCAGCAAGACAAAGGGAACGAAGGCTTATTGCCTCCAGAAGGTTATTCTTGACTCTGTAGATCACTTGGAAGGAGGCGTTTACTGAGATGGAATGGTTAATATTGTCGAGGTGTTTGATGATCGCACTCCTTATAGAGCCAGCCACTACTACCTTCTTGCAGCCATTTAGGATAGCGTTCTCGATTCCATCTGGACAGGATACGCATTGAACCATCAAGGTGCATCTAGCTCCACAACAACAGATGAACTGATATGTGCACATAGAAATGGCCAGTATTATTCACGTTGTATACAGCTGATGAAAACCTTCATATATGAAACAAAATGAAATCATCGTATCCATCCTACAAAAGTTGTTCTTCTCACGATTTTATTCAAAAGCTGTTTATTTTGATGGTTATTTTATTATTTTGAAAAATATCAAAACGTTTAATTCCAATCGTTTTTTATTATTCTCCAACCTACATATGCCTGTGATTTGTAACTGTAGCTTGTCACATGTGTTTCTGCGTTTCTGTGTGTGTGTGATAAACGAAAAGCAAAATAAAACTTATCAAGATCGCTGTCCACATTTTAACCTGAAAATCAAACAATTTGTTTACAGCCTTCTTTTTCAAACAATATTTTTTGCCTAGGGATTAGACTAAATGTTGGACAATCACCCTGTTGTTGTTTTTCTTATCTTCAAAATAATCACGATCTATCCTATAGGGTATCATTTTGTTTTATCTTTTAACTTTACGGCATTCTCGTGATGATCTTGAATCACATTGTTTTCCTTTTTTGCAATCTAAGCTGTTGTCCTACATCATAGTATAGTCTCTAGTTTAGATAAAGGAGCTAAATACGTTTGCTGTGCCTTCCTTGATTACACATCTGCATTTGACTCTACTTAGGTCTCTCTTGATAAGTAAGCTTGCTGCAACACAGGCTGAGAGCTAGACAAATAAGTGGTTGCATTCATATTTTTCTGATAGGAAGTCGAAACCTGACACCCTTTGTACTATTTGGCCTCACCTTGTAGATGATGTTGAAAGACGACTCTGGTGGAGCTACGTGACCTGAGTTCACCAAATGCTCGAGAATTGAGCTAGTAATTGTCTTGCATTGTCCTTTTTGCTTGCTAACCATGCCGGATAATGTTCAGAGATGCGTTTGGAAAGCGTGCGCTTTGTGTGGTCAATATAACTAGCTCCACACGAGCAGGTTAATTTATAAACACACATTGAAGTGGCCCATCCAAAGCGCCAGTTTATCCTTCACATATCCATTGATCATTTATCGGCTGTAGAAATTGATACGTAACTCAGCCATAAAGCAGGCTTTCCTCAGTGATCTGCTTAAGCGATTCTTCAGGATCTCAGCTGTGGTATCAACCTTTATTTATTTTATTTTGTTTGTTTGTTTTCTTCTCACCTAGGCAATATATGCAATGATTGGATCAGCTGTTGAATTTAACGACTCTGAAGCTACACCAGAAAGGCGAACAGAGAAAATTTTTCAACTGATGGATTTAGACAGAGATGATCGTCTTTCATTGGATGAATTTATTAGCGGTGTACAAAACGACAAACTGTTAATGCGTCTACTCACCTTGAATACACATCCATCGCATAATCATCAACACCAACAGTCTTGTTGTCCGCCTGATTCGCTGATAAATGGGTCAAATGATAATAAAATATTATCAACAGTGAATACTTGTCATTATTCAACAGATGATGGTAATGATGTTCATGATCATGATCATTGTACAGACAGGTCAGTAGTAGTAACCAGTCAATCAGCTTGCAAACAAAATGTTATTTCTGATTCAACAGAACCTTAAAAAAAAAGAAATTTCCTTCAACCCCTTTTTTATAAGATATAGAAGAAGATTATTTGTGAGGGTAAGTAGCTACTGTGATAAGTTGGCGTTTTTTTTGTTGTTGTTGTACTGTATTGTGTTGTCGAACTGTTTTTTGATGAGTTTTCAGGCATTAGTGCATGATTGTTATGAAAAAACACACGTTCCGGTATCCATCTAAAGTGGTACTTTATATCTAGTCAATTGGTAGATCCAATATATTTATCATAACACTATATCATAGCATTCCTTCCAGTCTAGACAAGGGGGCTAAATTTGTTCGTTTTGCCTTCCTGGACTATACATCTGCTTTTGACTCGGTCCCTAGGGACATCTTATTAAATAAACTTGCTGCAAGTCAAACACAATGTTGGGCTGTTGTATTTGGTTACATTCCTATTTCTCAGAAAGAAAGCAGCACACCGTGTATAAAGGGAAGTCTTCCACTTCATTGCCTACTGAAGCTGGTGTCTCTCAAGGCGCTGTCCTTTCTCCTTTTCTTTCTTCTTACATGACTTGCCTCACTCTGATGAAATAAACTTTGTGAAGTACGCTGATGATTTAACAGTTTCAATGGCTGTTAACTCCCAGCTAGATTGTACCAAAATAAATAGCTTTCTGTCGGGAGTCAGTAAATGGTCTGAGTCTAACGGTCTTAAACTGAATCCTTCTAAATGTCAAACTGTTAATTTCAGCTTAAGATGTAAAAAAACAGTTAAAAGAAGTCATAGATTCTCATGACAGTTATAAGATTGACGACAATGATATAGGAATCAAATCAGAAATTAAGTACCTTGGACTTATTCTCTCTTCTGATCTCTCCTGGACTTCCCATGTCTTAGCGATATCCAGTAAAATATTCCGCCTGACATTTTACATTAAGAAGTTAAGACACTCGGGTATACCTCAACCCCTACTCTTACAGTTCATAAACTCCTGCATCCTACCTATTCTTCTTTATTGTTCACCCTTATTCTTTCCTGGTTTGCTTAGAAAGGACTATGTCACAATTCGTAGAATGCTGAAGACGGTCTGTAGGGTGAGTGGTGTCCCAGTGGACCACATAGTTAACGTCATTGTCGATAGGCACTTGACTTCGTGCAATAAATTTGCCAGAGGGATTTTGTCTGACTTGGAGCATCCACCCTCAGCTTTCACCTTGCATCTCCTCAGGTAGAACAAGAAGTAACTTCAGAAAACTGTTTGCTCACACGTCTAAGTATAGAAATTCTATGATACCATACTTGGCACGTATTTTATGTGATGAAAATAGAGTCAGGCAAGAATTAACTAACCAAAATTTTTTCATCTAGTAAATAAACAATTTCCTCTATCCATCCTTATATACCTTCAAGTTTTACTTTTATTATTTCTATTATATTTATAGTCCTGTTGCTTCCTTGTTTTACTCTCATAATTGCAAGCACCAACTTATCTCTATGGCTGCTGTAATCTTTGTTTTTCCCCTCACCATATCATGTAGTAAGAACATTATATTCAATATTTTTAAACATGTTAGGATTTCTATACCGCATTGACAATACTGTGTGTAGAAAGCCCACCTCAATTTTTCACTTGTATCATTGATATTACCTTAGCGATTATCATTACTATTGCTATTTCCATTTTATATGCTGCATGTTTTTGACACTACCTCTATTGTAAATGTGAAAAATTTTCTGTGTGATTAATTTTTATTTATAATTTGAGGAAATTAGATGCAATATTGTGATTAATGCTGAAAATTCTATTCTGTATCACAAGTACCGTTTTTGGAATAGAGTAAATCATTATTATTATTATTATTATTAAAAAAATAGGCTCAGTGGTAATGTCTCGCTGAATAATGTAGCACTGAGTAGTGACGTGGGCTAGCACCTCACAAAGGGATATCAGTTCCTTCAAAGTTTTAGAAATACACCTTGCTGACGAGGACCAGTAAACAGGCTTCCAACTGTCTACACTAATTTGTATCTTTCTATTATATAATTATGCTTCATTTAAAAATCTAATTATGAGAATAACATCAATCACTAAGGTAAGGTTGTGCTGGTGATAGCTGCTGGCTGCAACCCAAAAATTGGTAGACAGCGTTTTACGTCAATGTTTACGTCCCGAATTGGGGTCATGAGAAAAAAACAAGAACAAAGCCTAACTTTGAGGAACTCAACAAGCAATCACAGCAGACTTAGCGTAGGCGGATATGATTAGCAGATATATCATCGGACTGTCTAAAAAACGGCAACAAAGAGATGACAGAATAACCTGCAAGCTAGAAAACAATCAATCAGACGAGGTTGCTTCTCCGCCAACGATAACGCTAATAATAATATACATAAAAATCTATAAATATCTGTTGACTTTCTCAATAAACGATCTGTTTGTCGCCTGGCCTTCGTCTTTTGTCGTTACATTTTGTTTCTCCTCACACTTTCATATGCTGCGCTTTCGCCTGACCTCCCAGCAGCAGCGTTCCAAGTACAGCCCCATTGTGGACGGATCTTTGACGTCACTTAACTGTGCAACAGCCTTGAAGTCCTGCCCGAAGATCCATATGTGCCCATCAAAAACTGTAGGGCATAGGCTTTCCATTTGTCGACAGGCAACGACACCAAATGTAACGACAGAAGACCAGGGCCAGGCAATAGATTCTTTATTGAGGAAATCAAGAGATATTTATGGATTTTTATGTACATTATGATTAGCGTTATTGTTAGCGGAGAAACAACCTCGTCTGGTTGGTTGTTTTCCCGGTGAAGGTTATTCTACACTGCTTGTGACCGTTTCTCAGAAAGTTAAGCCATATATATCCGTGAATTGTATTTGCACACGTTAAGTTTGCTGTGATTGGTTGGTGAGTTCCTCAAGGTTAAGCTTTGTTATTGTTTTTCTTTCTGACCCCGATTCGGTATATAACATTGACGTGTTTTATGTCTTCTGACAGTTTCTTTTTTACAAAGAACTATACAGTTTGTTGGCTATAGAACCTCTAAATTTTGGAAATAATACTGTGTTTTGCATTGACCTGACCATCTTGAACTCTTTTCCAGCTAACATGAAGCTTGTTGATAAGGTCGATGTCTTAGCATGTTTAACACACATTCTGGTCAGCCATCTCACTGGTTGAAACTTCACAACTCTGGCGATAGACAGGCATTTGACTACCATGCAGTGCTTTTCTCGATGATGATGATGATGCGTAGCACTGCAAATTGATTTATATATATGATTTGCTTTTCCTAAATCCACTTAGGTTCGAGTGGGCCGGAGTTGTGTGTCTAAAGCATCTTTTAGTCTCTCTAGGATGACGCTACTTAATATTGTACGTGGGTGGCACAGTGGTTAGGACTCTCGCCGACCATGCACATGGTCCGATCTCCTGCCGACGCACACTTGATATCTATGGTTGGCCTGCGAAATTCGGGCTACGGATATCCATGCTGAAAATTCCATACTTGTACCAAAAATACAGCGTGGAATCAAGCTGTAATCAAAAATAAAATTAAAAAAAATATTTTCGTTACAGGATTTCATCATGAGCTGACATCAGTTAGAGAACCATTGCGAAACCTAGGAGTATTGGACAAATGTTTCGTCCTAGTCTGTGGCTCTTCATCAATACGCACCCACCGCTGGGGTTCGCCCCCAGGACCTTCCGGTTACGAGGCTAGCGAGCTCGTATACCATTAAGCCGCTCGGACCCGATCCAATGGCCAGTCCATGAATTCCAACTTCTGCCAATTCACGATATAGCGCAACCGCCAGTCAGTGTCTTCGGCGAGTATTTGTCCTCACACCCGACCTGCTACGCCCAACTGGTCACGATTTCTCACTGGAACCCCAAGTAACTACCCACCTGAATAGGGCCAGTCGCCGGTGTGTGCTGCTGAAGAGTTTCAAACCAGGACGAAACAGCTGTCCAGTACTCCCAGTGGTTCTTTAACTAATGTCAGCTCATGATGAAATCCTGTAACCAATCAACCAAATCCCTACAAACCAATACTTGACAAAATATTTTGTTTAGTGTGGACAGAAATATGATTCTTCGCCAGTTTTTGCCAGTGACTGTAGGCTGCATGATTTTATACAATTAATTTATCGCTTCCACACGAAATAGCACGTTAATAAAATGTTTCTCTGTTATCTACTTTTTCTTCTTCTAAATTTTAGATATCTTCAATGGGATACTTGTGAATGATGTGAATAACCTCATTCATTATCAAATTAAATGTCACGATCTTTCTCTCTCTCTTACACACACACTCTCCTCCTTCATGTGATAATAAATGATGAACTTTTTTATTCCATTAAGAAAGGAAACCGATGTGACAGCGGATCTTTTCGTTAATCTAATTTTTTCGCTTAATATTGTTGTATTTTCCTTTGGCTTTTTACTTATTGTTATTACTATTTGTAATTTCCCAGGGAGAAATTCATACTATTGTCTATTATCATTATTATTATTGATAATATTGCTTCTTTTCTCTATCTTTGTATACTAATTTTAAATTTTCTTTCTGATTGTGTTCTCACTGATTTATCTTTTTGTAAAACAATCGAAAGTCAATCGATTGTTGTCAACTGCTCTCTGTACACTAACATAAAAGAAAAAGATATTGCTTATCATTCCTAATATCCATTTATTGTACGTACTTGGTTAATTGGTATTCAGAGTTATACTCATGAAGTTCGGAGGTTTCATGAAAGGAAGAGTGTCATTCAAAACAAAAGACCAGTATTTGATCTCGCTGACTTAAAATATGCAGACGACATAGTCCTGCTTCTGGGCGAGGACGCTGACAAAATGAAGCAGAGTCTTCTAAACAAACACCTTGAGCTGCAATCTACGAATGTTTGGCATGCGATTAGCTCCCGCCAAATGTAGGATGATGTTACAGGACTGCATTGGACTACACCGACTCCTAGATTAGAAATAGGAAGTGAATAGGTAGAGCACGTTGACCACTTCACTTATCTGGGAA